ATATATATATATATATATATATATATATATATATATATATATATATATAATATACACAAATAAACATATTTACACAGATCTTCTGACATTTATTCACCTCATAAATGTGGAATCATCTAATGAATGTGTCTTTATTAGATGATTCTGATCAGCGTCAGGGTGGGACTAAAGAAACCTTACAGAGACATCTTCAAATGGAAGATAGAGCCAATATTTGCTCTCAAATATCAAACATAGTGATTGTGTGTTGAAGTGATGGCTGTGAGGCTATGTGTAATTAAAGGAAAGTAGGCTTGTCTACACTGATTTACCTTCAGTGTGAAGGACTCCAAGCTGCTTCCAGAATGACGTATTACAGGAACTCCAGGCTGATTTTTGTCCGAAACAACATGAAGTACTATCATTCCACCATCTTCATCTAGGTACACACAGGTGCAGTAGATAGACAGCAGTCAGGAGGTTCAGAGGGCCTTTAGTTTCTTTAGCAAAACGGTTATTTCTCAGGTTAAAAAGCTTTACTTTTTATTTTTAAATGGATTTTGTGGAATATATAAGTACTAAATATACAGTAGGTGAAAATCACATAACTATATAGGCTGCTGCAGGACTCCTTAACTAAAAAAAAAATAATAATTGAAGATCTTTCATCTCACAATGGAGAAATTGACTTCTGCATCTTCACATTTTCTTGACGAGCAGTGGGCTGCCACTGTGTGGTGCAATCGAGGGTTAAGGGTCTTGCTCAGGGAGCCAGAGTGGAGGCAGTGGGGATCGAACCAGGTACTTGCAACCTTCTCAGAGAACAAGCGCACCGCTCTAACGATTAGGCCAAAACTTCTACTATTCTTATCCCATGAGCCAGCGTGTCTGAAAAATTAGCATCTCTTAACTAGAACAGATCTAGAATGCATCCTGTGCAAGGCTTCCTCATGGATTTATACTTGAGTTTAAACAGAAATGCTTTGCAGGATAGTTGAAAAGCAAGACTGAGGATGAAAAAGCTCTGCTCAATAACTGGGTTAGAATTCTGAGAAGAATCTAAAGTCAGCGAAAAGTTTAAAAATAAGTATCTTTTGCCTTCAATTAATGAATACGTTTACATTTCTTGAGCCTAAAGAAAATCCTGAAGAATATCGAATACCGTTTCCTTTTGGGGACATTAACAAGCTTTTGTTTCTGAGATACCAAATGAGGATTAAGTGCTGCTTTGTACCTGAGAGCCGAGCAAGCAAGGAGACCTCGTCAGTAACTGGAAACCAGCGCACTCCCAGGCTGCCATTTTGGGTCACATCAGTGAGGAAGTTGCTGTTTGAGTTGCGAACCGGAGGAAGAAAATCCATTAAGTTTCCTCCAGGATAAAACTTCCGAACTCCGCTCCGGTTTCCTTTACACACATTCAATTCAGCGTAAGCCACAAAAATGAAAAACATCGTTTTTAACTTCTATCTTTTTTGCTTTGATCTGTTAACATATCAACTCCAACTTCTGCATGTTAGCACAAGGTACTAAAGGATATATGAGTGCTGAAAATAAGAGAAGACAAATGGAAATTTCAATACCAAAAAATTAAATTTTAAAACTTATTAATTCAGTTTTAGACCTTTAAATTCTATTTCAATTTAACAAAATTCACTTTTAAACAAATTAATTTAATTCTAAAGCCAATCAAATAATTGCATTCTGCTCTTAATAACAGCCAAACGTTTTCTTTCTGAAATGTCTACTCTGTCCTTTTTATCCTTGGAAACCAAGTCCAGTGGATTGTTTTTTTAAACTTTTACAGAAGTCCTTTTTTTTTTTATCACACTCATACAATCTCTAGCAATGAAGGATTTCTGAAAAATAAAGCAATTATTTTTCAAATTCCCTATTATTAAATTATTCCATCGTCCAAACACTGTTTTCTTTTTCTTTTTTTTTAATTTCTTTATTTTTTTACTATTTATTTTTTATTTTTCTCCTACTTGCTCTGATTTTGTTTTATTTTTCCTATATTTTAATCATGGAAAGCACTTTGCATTGTCTTTGTATTGAATTGTGCTATATAAATAAATTTGCCTTGCCTTGCCTT